AAAAAAAAAAAAAAAAAAAGAAACACCAGAGAATCACTGGCGACACTCCACTTTCTCTCTGAGGTCTTGATTGCTCCTTGGTGCCACGGGGTCACCCTCATCTGCCTGGCTCCTGTTTGTGAATGAGCTATGGAAACCTGAGGCCCTACGCAAGCTCCTCTGCTTGCTGGTTGCAGTCAGCATCCCAAAGTCAGCCCCGTAGCTGGGCCTCCCTTATTCCCTACTCCCACTCCATCTACAAGCCCCGTGAATTTTCCTTCCAGAATGGTCCTGAAATCCAACCACCTTGCTTCTGCCCTCCTCATGAACTATTGCCACAGTCCCCAACCACACCCCCTGCTCCCACCTCCCTTGCCCAAATTCCGCACAATAGACCGCAGCAGGTAACCCACTGCCCCTGTGCAGTCTAATACAGCTGCCACTGTGGCCATTGAAACTCACTAAAATAAAACCAAACATTCAGTTATTCAGCTGCCCCAACCCCGTTTTAGATGCTCAGTAATCACATGGGGCAGCTCATGGCTGTCGTATTGTGCAGCACAGATTACAGAACATGCCCATGGTGCTGGAAAGTTCTATCGGACAGTGCAGGTTTAGAATCTTTGAGCAGGCCGGGCATGGTGGCTCACACCTGTAATCCAAGCACTTTGGAGGCCAAGGTGGGCGGATCACCTGAGGTCAGGAGTCCAAGACCAGCCTGACCAATATGGTGAAACCTCGTCTTTATTAAACAAAACGAAACAAAACAAAAACAAACAAACAAAAAAAACTTTGAGCAGCTTTTCCTTGCATTTAGAATGAACCCCAAATTTTGTACAGGACTACAAGGCCCTGCCTTACCTCTGACCCCACTTCCTACCGCCCACATTGGCCTCATCTCCCAACCTGGCTGTTCCTCAAACACAACTTTGAAGCCTCCTTGTCCTCTGTCCACCTGGTCCTTGTGCTTAGGACCAGCTCAGGCATCACCTCCCCTGGCAAGCCTTTGCCAAGACAGTGCCTTCTCCCACAGGGCACATACATCTCTGCTATGGCTGGGCTGGGAATACCTTATCATTTCCTCCCCTATACACATGCATCACTCGTGGTGGCCTGTCTGCCCTGCGGGCCACGCACACATCCGGTTCCTCATTCCACCAGTCCTGGCTGAGCACTTACCATGAGCTCACTATATGGGGGATATAGGGGAACAAGACAAACAGGTTTATGACCTTGCAGAGTTTAGATCTAGTTGGACAGACACTGAGTGGGAGATTACAGAGTGTCACGTGTGACTGAATCTCATGCCCATGCCACGCTGCACTCCTCCCTAGGGAGGGATGGATGATAGGAAAACTGCAGGAAAGGCCCAGAGGCCCAAGATAAGGCTGCTTTCAGGGAAGTCCTGAGGATAGAGCTGTGTCCTTGGGGCCAGAAGAGGCTGTCCCACAAGGGAGAAAGCCACTATCTGGATGTGTCTTTGTGCCTAACAAAAAGCCATTTGCTATGCCAAGAGAGCAGAGCATGCAAACTTAAACAGCTTCAGAGTTCAGAGTTTATTTAGAGACAGGGTCTTGATCTGTTACCCCGGCTGGAGGGCAGTGGCATGATCCTAGCTCAAGGAAGCTTCAAATTCCTAGGCTCAGTGCAATCCTCCAACCCCAGCCTCCTGAGCAGGTAGGATTACAGGCACGTGTCACCATGCCAGGCTAATTTTTAAATTTTTTTGTAGAGATGGAGTCTTGCTATGTTGCCCAGGCTGGTCTTGAACCTCTGGGGTCAAGTGATCCTCCTGACTCGGCCTCCCAAAGCACCCGGATTACAGGTGTGGGCCACGTGCCTGGCCTTTATCATATCCACTTTAAAGAAGAGGCCGGCCGGGTGTGGTGGCTCATGCCTGTAATCCTAGCACTTTTGGAGGCTGAGGTGGGTGGATCACCTGAGGTCAGGAGTTCAAGACCAGCCTGGCCATCATGGTGAAACCCCATCTTAAAAAAAAATTAAAAAAAAGGAAAAAAAGAAAAAAGAGGCCACAGCTGGGTGTGGTGGCTCACACCTGTAATTTCTGCACTTTGGGAGGCCAAGGTGGGCGGATCACCTGAGGTCAGGTGTTCAAGACCAGCCTGACCAACATGGAGAAACTCGTTCTCTATTAAAAATACAAAATTAGCCAGATGTGGTGGAGCATGCCTGTAATCCCAGCTACTCAGGAGGCTGAGGCAGGAGAATTGCTTGAACCTGGGAGGCAGAGGTTGCGGTGAGCCAAGATCGCACCACTGCACTCCAGCCTGGGCAACAAGAGTGAAACTTCATCCAAAAAAAAAAAAAAAAGAGGCCACTGAGGATGAGAGCACTGCTCAGTGTGGTACTGCTGGGATTCCAGCCCCTTTATTCTCCATTACCCCAAAGCCACAGCATCACTTGCATCTCAGTCTCTTCACCCGCAAAATGGGCTATTTGCAGCCTGACAGGAAGGGGTTGAGATCAGCTGGGTCCAAGGGACCAGGATGGCAGGAGGTTATCAGCGCCTGCAGAGGGCAGCAGTGAGCTGTGCACCGCCCACCCTGACTAGAAACCGGGTCCCAGGGATTTTCCCAGCAGCAGGAATGTTCTCTAGGACACTAATATTAACAGTCAATCACGAAATGACCCCTACACATCATTTTTCAGGGTGTGTTTTACGTTTGCCCCATCTGGGCATTTCACACAGGATGTTCTTAACATTTTGTACCCTGGCCCACAGGGCTGGGTGGAAGACAGGATAGCCCAGAGCAGGGAGTGAAGCAAAATCGGTGGTGGTTCTCTAGGGAAGCCCGAAGATCTGAGGCTGGGCAGAGAGCAGGGAGCCTGATGAGCACAAAATGAAAATACCCAAACCAGCCTGCCGGGTTAGGGGAAAAGGAGGCAGGATTTGGCAAATGAAGAGCAGATGACAAAACTGAGGCTCAGAGAGGGGACGGACATTGCTGAGGTCACACAGTCGGCAGGGAGACCTGAACCTATGCAGGGCTAGCCTGGCTACTAGCCTGGGCTCCGTACTTTAGATTGGACATCAAGGCATCTGCTCCAGATGACACTGGCACTTGGAGGAGGGAATGATAATCCCTCACATCTACACAGGGACAACAGCCCTTGGAGGTGGATGTTCTTCTCACTTCAAGGAAACTGAGGCAGAGAGAGAGAGAGGCAGTCAGGACTCAAGCCCAGTAATTCATTTCCCAAATCCTGCTTCCTTTTCCCCTAGCCCAGAAGGTCGGTTTAGGTATTTTCATGTTGTGCCCATCAGATTCCCTGCAGAGCGCTCTCTGCTGTGTCTCGGATCTCTCTGTCCCTAGAGAACCATCAAAGACTTTGTTTCACTCCTGCTCTGGGCTGGCAGCCCCCTTAGAGGGAGGCTAATTAGGGAAGTTCTGAGTCAGGTCCACGCTGGAAAAACTACACTGGCCTCTGGAGCTCAGGAGAGGCCAGGGAACAAACGTATGGCTCAGCACACAGGAAGGCAGGTGTGGGTACTGAGTGACCTGAGGGAGAAATTCCTATTTATCATCCATCATGTGGTCCTGCTGTGACGACCCTGTGTGGCAGTCACCCACAGCAGGTCCACCATGTGGGAGGCCGGGTGAAATAGGGGTGCTGACATTAGTGACCCAGCCTGGCCCTCCCTGCATCGCTGGGTGACCTGCCTGGTCCTGGCCTTTCTGTGAGTTGGGCCCTGCTGGGTGGTCCCTAGAGTGCCCAGCCTTGAGGCTGGTTAGAGGCCGGGCTGTGAGGTGCGAGGAACTCACTTGCTTCTCTACAGAAGGTGCCCTCCCCATCGTTGGGCCAGATCTGTCCGGCCTTGCGGACATCCACGATGATGGCCTCGGACATGACAACCGTGCAGTGCCGGTGCCGCTTGTGGCACTGCGGCGTGGGGGCGAGGGGTGGCTTGCTGCTGTCCGAGGACTGCTTCGAGTTCTGCCAGGGAGAGCGGCTTTTGTCCCAGAACATGCGGTAGGCGGTGGGGCTTGGGGACACGCGACTGGACTGGCCAGAGGAGAAGTCCTCCTTGCTGGAGGGGAGCCACATGTTCCTATTCCAGGACTGCAGAACTGACCCGGCCCTCTTTGTTGGAAAGGTCCCTCTGGACCAGGAAGTCCCGTGTCCTGTTTATGGGGGGCCCCTGGGCTGCGACTTGGACAGTCCAATTCGCTGTTGTTAGGGCCTCAGTTTCCCAAAAGGCACAGGGACGGGAGGGAGGGTGGCGGCTCCATGGGGAAGGCGCCTCCGGGTGCCTCCAGCCGGTGCCCACGGCGCGGCCCCTTTAAGAGGCCCGCCCGGCTCAGTCAGTCGCGCCGCGGCCACCGCCCCCCGGCCCTCCCCTTCCTGCGGCGCAGAGTGCGGGCCGGGCGGGAGTGCGGCTACAGCCGGCGGCCGAGCGCAGAGCCCTGGGAGGCGGCGGCGGCGTGGTTGCGTGGCTGCGGAACGGCGCGGGAGCGAGAGGCGAGGAGCGCGCGGGCTGCGGCCAGGGTCTAGCGGCGGCCGGGCGGAGCGGAGGATAGCGCCCGCGCTTCGCCGCGCGGAGGAGCCCCGCACACAATAGCGGCGCGCGCAGCCCGCGCCCTTCCCCCCCCGCGCGCCCCGCCCCGCGCCCGCGCGCCCAGCGCCCCGCGCCGCCTCACCTGCCACCGGGGAGGGGGCGGGCATTGTTCGCCGCCGCCGCCGCGCGGGGCCATGGGGGCCGCCCGGCGCTCGGGGCCGGGCCTGGCGAGCCCGCCGCGCTGCCGCTGAGAGGGGCCCGGCGCGCAGCGCGGCGGCGCAGGTGAGGCCGGCCGCGCCATGGTGGACCCGGTGGGCTTCGCGGAGGCGTGGAAGGCGCAGTTCCCGGACTCCGAGCCGCCGCGCATGGAGCTGCGCTCAGTGGGTGACATCGAGCAGGAGCTGGAGCGCTGCAAGGCCTCCATCCGGCGCCTGGAGCAGGAGGTGAACCAGGAGCGCTTCCGTATGATCTACCTGCAGACGCTGCTGGCCAAGGAGAAGAAGAGCTATGACCGGCAGCGCTGGGGCTTCCGGCGCGCGGCGCAGACCCCCGACGGCGCCCCCGAGCCCCGCGCGCCCGCGCCGCGCCCGCAGCCCGCGCCCGTCGACGGAACCGACCCGCCGCCCGCAGAGGAGCCGGAGGCCCGGCCCAACGGAGAAGGTTCTCCTGGCAAGGCCAGGCCCGGAGCCGCCCGAAGGCCCGGGACCGCCGCGTCGGGGGACCGGGACGACCGGGGGCCCCCAGCCAGCGTGGCGGCGCTCAGGTCCAACTTCGAGCGCATCCGCAAGGGCCATGGCCAGCCCGGCGTGGACGCTGAGAAGCCCTTCTACGTGAACGTCGAGTTTCACCATGAGCGTGGCCTGGTGAAGGTCAACGACAAAGAGGTGTCGGACCGCATCAGCTCCCTGGGTAGCCAGGCCATGCAGATGGAGCGCAAAAAGTCCCAGCACAGCGCGGGCTCCAGCGTGGGGGATGCATCCAGGCCCGCTTACCGCGGACGCTCCTCGGAGAGCAGCTGCGGCCTCGACGGCGACTACGAGGACGCCGAGTTGAACCCCCGCTTCCTGAAGGACAACCTGATCAACGCCAATGGTGGTGGCAGGCCCCCTTGGCCGCCCCTGGAGTACCAGCCCTACCAGAGCATCTATGTCGGGGGCATGATGGAAGGGGAGGGCAAGAGCCCGCTCCTGCGCAGCCAGAGCACCTCGGAGCAGGAGAAGCGCCTCACCTGGCCCCGCAGGTCCTACTCCCCCCGGAGCTTTGAGGACTGCGGAGGCGGCTACACCCCAGACTGCAGCTCCAACGAGAACCTCACCTCCAGCGAGGAGGACTTCTCCTCCGGCCAGTCCAGCCGCGTGTCCCCAAGCCCCACCACTTACCGCATGTTCCGGGACAAGAGCCGCTCTCCCTCGCAGAACTCGCAGCAGTCCTTCGACAGCAGCAGCCCTCCCACGCCGCAGTGCCATAAGCGGCACCGGCACTGCCCGGTTGTTGTGTCCGAGGCCACCATAGTGGGCGTCCGCAAGACCGGGCAGATCTGGCCCAATGATGGGGAGGGCACCTTCCATGGAGACGCAGGTGAGTTCTTCACGCCACGTGCGTGGGCACACCTGCACCGAGGAGGAAAGCCGTAGAGGAGTAGGGAATACAAAACAAGTTGGGAGGAGGAATGGATGCTTTTGAGTGGTTTGCAGGTGCGCTTGTGGTTCACGCTGATCCTGTGCCCGAACAAACTCCATCCCTCCTCCTTCCAGAATGCAGATTGTCAGTGTTTGGAATGGGATTGGGTTGAGGGTGGCCGTGTGAGGGATGAGAGGTGGTTTGTTCCCTTGGTTCTAGAGCACTGTTTGTGAAGTACAGCTGGTGAGTTGGAGGAAGATGCCCCAGGCAGTAACTCCTTGCTCTGTGCTCTCTCCTCTCCCGGAAGTGAGGATGGCATAAAAGCCAGAGTCATTTCTAGCGCCAGGATCGGATGCTGTTAGCAGGGACTGATTTGCGTCTTGGGCATTCCCCGCCACCCCACTGATCCTGCCCTGGAAGAGTTATATGACACATTTGTGAAACCCGAGATATGCTAGCTGCTCCCAGGCCATAGAAGCATCAGGTTTGCTTGCTAGCCAGCAGCCCTGAACGCAAGTCACAGCAGGTGAGACTAGGAATTAGGAGGAGGTGAGGAGCCAGGGAGTTGTGACTCAGTGGGCCACGGAAAATCAACTGCATAGAGATTTCATCTGGGGCTGAAGCTGAGCCACACCTGTTCTGATCTACCTGGCTTTGATGGGAGACTTCACTCATCATTACTCAGCCCCAGGCTCCTCCATGCGTGGTAACCCAGCCCCATTTGCTGACCCTCCAGTGTGTTCCTGCTGCCTCATCTTCCCAAAGATAAGCATCCACAGGTGCTTATTTGGGGCTCCCAGTCTGTGGTCAGACCCTAGCCCTAACGTTAGAACTATGGGATTGTGCACATAACTTCTGTTCTATATGCACATATCATCGGGCGTTTTGGTCACTGTGTTTTGAGATCCAGGCACAGTTTGCCGTTGGTTGGGGTAAGGAAAGGGTGGATTGGGGTGTGTGTGAGGCTGTCGGGAATCTCTTGGAGACCTGGTCCCTGTTAAGCTGATCTGGTTTTCTGCTCCATTGATTTTTCTTTTTCTGCTGATGGAGGAGTTGGATGTGCTTGGTTTGTCAGAATGCTCTTCAAACAAGTGAGGCTATTTTTGGCTCTTGGAGCTGCCTTTTTGTGATGGGCTCTCTGTCCTGTTTGTGTTAGGTACTTCCAGTTGCTGATCTTCCATTTGCAGCTGGGGTTGGCTGTGGTGCAGGGCTCCGACCTGCAGGCTGGCCCGGCTGCCTTCCCTAAGTCCCCGTGTGGGGGCGGGGTGGATGCTCTGCTGTTCGGAAGCCTGCTTTGCAGGCATATCAGCTGGTCGGGTCTGGAGGATTGCCTTGTGGTTACCGGGCACCAGCCTCGTCTGGCCAGCTGTTGGCCAGGCGAGCCAGCTTGAACTGGCCCTCAGTGCTGTGGTGCAGGAGAGTTATTAATAAAAAAGAAAATGAGAGGTTTTTAAGGAGATGTGCAAATTGAAATGATAATCTTTGCTAGTGGAAAATTCTGGGTTTCCAGAACCGTGAGCCCAGCCTTTCCTATAGCTTCTGTCGACGTGGCCGTGTTGCCCACCACATCACCAGACCCTGAGTGCAAGTCAGTAGATGAAAATAGGAATTGCTGTAGAAGGATGGAAAGCCCAGTGCCTTGAGTCATACAGGGCAGGTCCTCAGGAAATGGCCGAGGAGTTCATTTTACCACTTGGACCCACTTTTAGGTCTTTCTGGATCCTTCTCTGTCCTCGAGATCCCACAATCTCTTTCCCATTAGGTTTTATTTTTTCCCCCTAAACTGCTTTTTGTTTGTTTTTTTGTTTTTAAGAGACAATGTCTGGTTCTGCCATCCAGGCTGGAGTGCAGTAGTATGATCATACCTCACTGCAACGTCAAACTCTTGGGCTCAGGTGAGCCTTCCGCCTCAGCCTCTTCTGTAGCTGGGACTGAAGGTTTAAACCACTGTACTGGGCTAATTTTTAATTTTTTTTGTAAAAACAGTGGCTTGTTGTGTTGCTCAGTCTGGTCTCAAACTCCTGGGCTCAAGTATTCCTCCAGCTTCAGCCTCCTGAGTAGCTGGGATTACAGGAAGGAGCCACCTCACCAGGCCTCTTAGATGTTTTTCATAACCAAGGTCATTTAAACATCTTTTAAAAGAGATTATGTATTTTCCCTCAGACAGTTTTTCATTTTTAAGACTTAATTTTGGCCGGGCGCGGTGGCTCAAGCCTGTAATCCCAGCACTTTGGGAGGCCGAGGCGGGTGGATCACAAGGTCAAGAGATCGAGACCATCCTGGTCAACATGGTGAAACCCCGTCTCTACTAAAAATACAAAAACATTAGCTGGGCATGGTGGCGCGTGCCTGTAATCCCAGCTACTGAGGAGGTTGAGGCAGGAGAATTGCCTGAACCCAGGAGGCGGAGGTTGTGGTGAGCTGAGATCGCGCCATTGCACTCCAGCCTGGGTAACAAGAGTGAAACTCCGTCTAAAAAAAAAAAAAAAGACTTAATTTTTTTTTTTTTTTAGAGCACTATTAGGTTCACAGCAAAATTGAGCAGGGAAATAGAGATTTCCCATACACTCTCTACCCCCCCACACCCGCAGTGTCTCCAGTTAACAACTGCCACTGGAGGGGCGCATTTGTTAGAGCCCACAAACCTGCATTGGTGCCTCCTTGTTACTCAAAGTCCAGAGTTTACATTTGGGTTCACTCTTGGTGTTGTACAGTCTGCTGGTTTGGATCCTGTGAGGTTTTAGAACTCCTGCTCGTTTTAAAACTCCTGCTTGTTGTAAAAGCCCAGGCTTTTAGCCCTGGGCACCTTGACACTCTTTGCCCAGCAGTTTCCTCCGGCGTGGAAAGAAGAATCTGCACTGGCTCAGCCATCTGTCTCTGCTGGACTGTTTACTGATGTTCTTTAGAGGGCTGTGGAGCCTGCTGGTCTGAAAAGGAACAATGAGGAAAATCACTCATGGAGTGGGTGGGGAGGAAGTCGCCCTAATGCTCCCCAGCAGCAGGCAGATACGGTGCCCTGGATCTAATAACCCCAGAATCAGTCTGTATGAATGGGCTGTCGCATTTCTGAGTTGAGAGCTCCTCAAGGGAGGGGGTTAAAGCCATCCCTGGGCACAGTGACAAAGTGCTTCCCATAGGGCCCCTCATGGGCTTATCTCTCACCTTGGGGTGGAGTTGCCCATTTACAGGTGAAGACACAACTGGGAAGCGGCAGGGCTGGGATTCGGGGTCCCTGCGTGAATGCAGAGCTGTTCCCTCTGCAACATGGTGACCCCTTCGGTGTTCTTCCTGCTACCCCACACTGCCACCTGCAAAACACACTGGGGAGGTTCAGGGGGTCCTTCCAGTCTTTGCACCCTGGGCCCGCCTGGGGGGTAATGATAGATAGCTGTGAGTCCTGCTGTATAACTGTTTGGGACCCATGGAAAAAGAGTGTGGTTCCTGCCATCTAGGAACTTACAGGTTAATGGAAGAGAGGGAACACACATGTGTATGTGTTGGAGGGAAGTGAGATCAGGGAAGCTTCCAGAATCGGCAGGACTGAAGAGGACTTGATGAATCAGCAGAAGTTGGAGGGCAGAGAGTAGCTGTTTGCCCTAAGGAAAAATGGGAACAAAGGCTTGGGGGCACCCACGTCTGCCCTGTGATTCTAAACTGTGTGCTTTTCTTTAAATGGTAAAATACACATAATTTAAAATGTACCATTTTTGTAATTTTCAACAAGTTTGGTAAAATGCACATAACAAAAGTTACCATCTTAACCCTTTTAAATTGTTTTTTTGGGTAAGGCTAGTCAAGTGGAAGATTTAACCATTTTTATCCATACAGTTCTGTGCGTTGACAGCATTCACGTTGTTGGATGACCATCACCACCTTCCATCTCGAACTTTTTCATCTTCCCAATGGAAACTCTGTACCCATTAAATAATAGCTCCGCAGTTCCCGCGCAGCCCCTGGTACCACCATTACATTCTGTCTCTCTGAATTTGACTAATATATGTACCTCATGTAAATCCAGTCCTGCAACATTTATCTTTTTGTGATTGGCTTATTTCACTGCGTGTAATATCCTCAAGGTTCATCCATGTTGTGGCAGAAATTGTGTGCTTTTTTGTTTTGTTTCATTTTGTTTTTGAGATGGAGTCTCATTTTGTCACCTAGGCTGGAGTATAGTGGTGTGATCTTGGCTCACTGCAGCCTCTGCCTTCTGGGTTCAAGCAGTTCTGCCTCAGCCTCCTGAGTAGCTGGGATTACAGATGCCCACCACCACGCCCAGCTAATTTTTGCATTTTCAGTAGAGACAGGGTTTCACCATGTTGGCCAGGCTGGTCTGGAACTCCAGACCTCAGGTGATCCGCCTGCTCAGCCTCCCAAAGTGCTGGGATTATAGGCGTGGGCTATTGCGCCTGGACTTTTTCTTTTTTGTGAAAGGGTCTTGCTATGTTACCCAGGCTGGAGTGTAGTGGCTCAGTCACCACTCACTGCAGCCTTGACCTCCCAGGCTCAAACAGTCTTCCCACCTCAGCCTCCCAAATAGGTGAGCCCACAGGTATGCACCACCATGCCTGGCTAATTATTTATTTATTTATTTCTGTGGAGATGGGGTCTTGCTATGTTGCCCTGGTCTCAAACTCCTGGGCTCAAGCAGTCCTCGTGCCTCAACCTCTGAAAGTGCTGGGATTATAGGTGTGAGCCACCACTCTGTGCCAGCTGTGTGCTTTTTGAAGGCAGGAATCACTGGTTCATTTCTGGGTCTCCCATGGAGCCTGGTTCTGAGCTTTATACATGGCACATATTGGAAGAGCCCTTTCTCCTTTTCATAGCCCATAGAGTCAGGACTCGGAAATTTTACTGATTAATGGGACGTGACTTATCAGTTACTCTGTCTTTTCCTCATTTCATCCCTCTACTTTACTTTCCCTTTTTCTTTTTAAGTGGCTTAAAATAACAACCATTTA